TCTGGCGTGGGGCCCCCCCCCCCCCCCCCCCAATCGTGCGCGCCTGCGGCAATCGTGGGAGCCGCGCTTGACCATCGCTGCCGGTGCACGGCCTTGTTTACCGAATGCAGCACGGTTTCATTGTGCACACAGGTGATCTACCTGCACAAAGACTGCGAAGAGGCCGTGGTCAAGTTCAAGACCGCGCTGCGCTCCCAGAGTGAGCGCGGCACGCGGGCGCGGCTGCCGCGCATCAGCCGCCCCGGGACGGCCGGCCCCTTTTGCAATGCAACGCCTCCCCGCGAAGCGCCCCGTTTTGCGCTGCGGCAGAGGGCTTCTGTAGCTTCTCCAAATTTCGTTCGCTTCGGCCTGGATCGAGCGCCCGCGTTCTCCCCCTTTTCCCTTCTGATATGCTGCTCTGCCCCGCAGATGCCGGCCAGGGCGCGGGCGTCGACCTGCCAGCGGGCGCAGACACCGCGGCTGAGGATGAGATCACGCTTACTCTCCCCGGCGGTGCGCCCAGCTTGGCGGGGTTCGGGCCGGCTGCAGCCCCTCTTGGGCGCGGGGCGCCGCGCCGGCGCAGTAGCTCCGCAGCCGGCCGAACCAGACAATGCATGTCTTGCGAACCCTTGCAATATCATTGCCACAGTCGTGGCTGGGCTTCCTCACTGCCTCGAGCGACCCTGCAGCCTGTGGCGCGCTGCCAAGCCGATGCCCGCCGCCAGGGACCATAACACTCCCACCCGTCTCGCTCCTGCCGCGCAGTCGACGGCGGCGACGCGGCTGATTACCTATGGGGCGGCGAGCAGCTGCTGCTCCTTGGCGGCGGCCGCGGCGGCGGCCTGGGTGGCCTCGGCGGGAGCGGGCCCCTGACTCTGGTGCCGAGCGGCAGCGGCGGGCGCCTGTCGCAGGTGCGCTCCCGGGCGCTTGCTTCCCCCGCGCCCCTCGCCGTGGCTCGTCGCCGCCGGCTCCCTCGACAGCGGGGCCCGGCGGCCTTCACGCGGCACGCACCCGCCTCGCAAACGGCAGGGGGTGCCGCGGGAGCCCGCGGGCACTGCACTATCACCTCCACGCTGCAGCTCAGCTGAAATCTGTATGCAATCAAACTGCTCTCCCTCTTTTTCCCGCACATCACATCAACCAAAACAGGACCTGTCGGATGTGTGGGGCCTCCACACCTCCACAGAGGGCGAGACGTTTGATCTGGACGGCATCAACCCGGATGACCCCATCCCGTGGGATCTGGACGATCTTGAAGTGGAGCGCCTCCGCGCCGCCAGCCAGGGCGGCGGCGCGACGCCGGGGCGCAGCGGCGGGGCGGGCGGCGCGCTTGAGGGGCTGACGCCGGCGAGCGACGCGCGGACGCGGCGCGGCGGCAAGGGTGAGCAACGCAGGAGCGAGGCCAGGGGCCGGGGCGTGGGGCGGGCGGGCTCGGGGTTTGCAGCGGCCGTGGCGGGCGCGGCTGACGGAGCATGCGTGAACGTGACGCCATGGCATGTGCAAGCCTGCTCCGCACGCATGCACGTGCACACACGCACGCTCGTGCAGACACACACACACACACACGCGCGCGCGCGCGCGCCTCACGTCATCCGCCCCCCAGGCTCGCGCCCCACGACACCCTTGGTCTCAGAGGACCGGGACCTGCTGCCAGAGGCCCGCGCCGCCGCCGCCGCGAGGCCCGACGCGCCCGCGCCCTTCGACGACCTCGGTGCCGACGGCGCGTTTGACCAGCCGTTTGACCAGCCAGAGGGGCTGTACGGGGACGAGCTGCTCCCGCCGCCGCTGGACGACGCTGATGTGGCGGCTGCGGCGGAGGTGGCCGCGGAGGCGCGGCGCGCGTCGGCGCTGTTTGGGGGCGCGGGCGCGGACGGCGAGGCGGCGGCAGACGCGTACGCGGCACTCCCGCCGACGCCGGAAGGCGAGGACGGCGGGGAGG